TATATATATATATATATTACAGACATGAACTTCATTTCATTCCATCTTTGTATAAATTAATTAAAATACATCGATCTGTTTTATGTTCTTATTTTCATATTTCTGATCCACTTGTATTTTTCACAACGACATAATATATATATATAAATATATATATATATATATATATATATACCCACATACACACACACACGTGTGTTTGTGTGTGTGCAAAAATATAAAAATAGGAAAGAACACGTTAGGTTAATAATCCGAAGTTTACAAAAAAACAGTGCGCAATTCATAAGTAGAGCCTAAATTATAATAATCTTTAAAAAATTTGATTCCATCGCTACATAAGACTTCAATGTTCACTTTCGGATTTTAATTTTTATATTTTTTATTGTTCAGCATATATATATATATATATATATATATATATATATATATATATATATATATATATATATAGAGAGAGAGAGAGAGAGACAGACAGACAGACAGACAGACAGACAGAGATGATGATGATGATTCCATGTTATGAGAACTCTTATGTAGCGATGTAATCATATTTTTAAAAAATAATTATATATATATATATATATATATATATTGACATAGAGCGAAAGAGAGAAAGAGAGACACAGAGAGAGTGTTTGAGAAAGAGAGAGAGAGAGAGGATGAGCGGTGAAATTTCCAGATAGGAAATAATAGAAGCTCAGTCGAGATTTTAATAACGTACTCGACACTCTACACTTTCTTGCTTCTTACTTTTACATAATTTTTTGCCTGATGACGGATTTCGTTACGAAAGATGCCTTCCAAAATCTAAGCGAAGTATTAAGGAACAGAACAGTCTCATTAAACACCAAGAAAAGACTTCTGAAATCTATGCTATACCAGTTCTTCTATATGGATGTGGATACTGAGCAATCTTTTGAAAGATGAAGAAACTTGAAGCAAAGTAAATGTTGGTCTGAAGAAGGATACTGAACATGTAATTTTTTTATAGAAAAAAAACGGTTGCTTTAGTTTGTTTTGTTTTACGGCATATCAACACCTCAGTGGGTCATTAAATGCCGAGAAAATTTTTAGGATAGATTCGTATGAATAGAATATGTATTCTTTGGTTTAGATTGGTTTGGTTTATTTTGTTTTACGGTATATCGACCTCAATGGGTTATTTAATGCCGACAACATTTTTAGGATAGATTCGTATGAATAGAATATGTATTCTTTGGTTTAGATTGGATTGGTTTATTTTGTTTTACGGCATATCAACCTCAATGGGTCATTTAATGCCGACATCATTTTTAGGATAGATTCGTATAAATAGAATATGTATTCTTTGGTTTAGATTGGTTTGGTTTATTTTGTTTTACGGCATATCAACCTCAATGGGTCATTTAAAGTCGATAATTTTTTTTTCCTTTGTTTTGTCAAAAATCAATTTCTGTTAATTTTTTTTTTCAAAAACGTATCGCTGATAATATTATTCTTTTCAAAAACGTATAGCTGGTAATATTTTTTTCAAAAACGTACAGCTTACAACATTATTTTAAAAAAAAAACGTACTATCAGACGCCTTGCTGTTGGACATAGTTTATCGTCTTACTCAGGACGCGGATTTAGTTTATCGCCTTACCCAGGACGCAAAAAAAAAAAAAAAAAAAATGGTTGGTTTAGTTTGTTTTGTTTTACGGCATATCAACCCCAATGGGTCATTTAATGCCGACAACATTTTTTACCTTGTAATATTTTTGTTTTGTCAAAAATCCATTTTTATTAATATTTATTTTTTAAAAATATTTAGCTGGTAATATTTTTTTTTTTTTTTTTTTACAGCTGGCAACATTTCTTCTTCAAAAACGTATTATCAGAGGCCTTGATGTTGGACGTAGTCTATCGTCTTACCCAGGACGCGCATGTAGTTTATCGTCATACCCACGACGCAAAAAAAAAAAAGATGGAAAAGAAAAACACACATAATTATTATCAGCAAGCGTCAGTTAAAATTTGAAAAAAATTCAAAAATTTGATATCCAAAAGGTATATTCAAGGTAAGACGGACACCGCGCATCGCCTTCCTAACGAGCTTTTGTAAATTGATGTCATGATTTAGGAGAGATAACAAAAAGTCAAAATTTTCTAAGAGCTGCAAAGGACGGGAAATTATGGAGGGTCATGATAGTCCACGTCGTGAAGGAACACGGAACACAGAGGAAAAAAATAGAGTTTGCAATCGTTAAAGCTTTTTTTCTTCCGGTTGTGGTCCGTTGAAATATCGTTCATATCGAGTTGATGTTGCATAGGAATTCTTTCGGGAGCCTCGCTTATTTGAGAGATTCAAAGTCAATATACTGTCCCAGCATGTTTTTTTTTATAACTCTTCTCGTTTTATTGTTGCTATTAGTGATATTGTTTCGATGTTAGTAGGGATTCTGTTTTTCTGTTCAGTGAGATCTCGGTATAAACATCAAAACATTTTATTTTATTGCGAAATTAGGAATAAATGAAGGGGAAAAACCCAGAATCGAAAAGAAAAATCTATTCAATTGTGCTTAACAACATGAGAATCGAGTCTCCCTTTTTTGTCATTATCTATGTACAGTGGGACACACGGACTTCAAGAAGATCGGAAAAATACTACAAAAATAAATGCAGAATCCTTTTAACTATTACTGACTCATCCAAGTGTTTGTATGTATGGGCGTATCGCGTATGTATGCTTCAGAGTTAGTGTGAGTGTGTTTACATGTGAGTTTGAAATGTGCACTTGTGGGTGAGATTGAGAGAGATGAGGAAATAACAAAGAAAAAAAAACGCATTGAGCTCGAATGAATGCATATAAAAGAAACGATACATAATCAGTAATTGCAACAAGCATACACATATCCACATGCACATTTGCACATACAAATTCATAATTGTATCCCCAAAATGCCAAAAGGTGCACACAAAATTGCATTCAAAACCTTTGGTAACTAGAAACATAGAATCAAGCAAACGGCAGATACGCAAGATTTTTTACATGCCATCATTTCAGGACTTCCTTCTCGTCAATATGTGTAATTTGCCAGCAGTAACGACATTTTTTATCATCTCACCCCAAACAAGGCGATAATGCCACTAGGACGCAGGGTGAATACAGGAAGTGAAAGAGAATTAGAAGACTTTATTCGTGAGGGGTGAAGAAAAGACAATAAAGGAACATAGTTTACGGAGACAGAAGATGGCGATGGACGTTACATTAAATGTTTTGAAAATTTTTAGTTGTCAGGGAAGCAAAAGTTAGGAAGGGAGTTCCACAAGTGAAAAGAGCAAGAATAATAAAAATAAAAACAAAAACTGTTCAACATGTAAACAGTGGGACCTAATTGACGATCTAGTAGCACGCTTAACTTCCTGTAGCTGAGAAAACAATGGTAAACAATTATCAGGGCACTTGCCATAAAATATTTGTAGAAAATCTACTGGTTAGACACGTTACGTCGGTGATTGATGTCGAGGTGCCTGGGCACGATCGATAGCCATTACAACAATTTTTATTGAATATTGTGAAGAATCTCGAGATATAGAGCACATGCACCAGATAGGGTTTGGCAGCATTATTAAATGTACGGAATAACGTTACATTTATAAATGTGCAAGGCGAGAATAAATTACCTGCCACGACATAGTGAACCGACTTTCTTAATAGTATACGCAGCAATCATGCTGGAACACAAGTTCTCGTCTGCTTAACAAAGTTAAGCAATGACGAGCCTGATCATTACATGGATGGGTTCTGTTTAAATGTTACAGTCAAGTTTGAATTTAAAATGCTCGAGAATACAAAGATAAATACTTCGAATAAGCTTGCCAAGAAACGGTGGAAATTCTGAGATAATAAAATAAGTGGAAATAGTAGAGAAATTTGATGATCTCTGTACTGAACGAAGATGACATTTAAAATCTGTCTTTTAAATTTTCTATCTATCTATCTATCTATCTATCTATCTATCTATATATATATATATATATATAAATATTGCTGTATGTTTCTTTCTTTCTATCTATCTATCTATCTATCTATATATATATATATATATATAAATATCGCTGTATGTTTCTTTCTATCTATCTATCTATCTATCTATCTATCTATATATATATATATATATATATATATATATATCCTTTATATGTTTCTTTCTTTCTATCTATCTATCTATCTATCTATCTATATATATATATTTATATATATATATATATATATATATATATATATATATCGCTGTATGTTTCTTTCTATATATCTATCTATCTATCTATCTATATATATATATATATATATATATAAATATTGCTGTATGTTTCTTTCTATCTATCTATCTATCTATCTATCTATCTATCTATATATATATATATATATATATATATAAATATCGCTGTATGTTTCTTTATATCTATCTATCTATCTATCTATCTATCTATCTATATATATATATATATATATATATATATATATATCGCTGTATGTTTCTTTCTTTCTATATATATCTATCTATCTATATATATATATATCGCTGTATGTTTCTTTCTATTTATCTATCTATCTATCTATCTATCTATATATATATATATATATATATATATATATATATATAAATATTGCTGTATGTTTTTCTTTCTATCTATCTATCTATCTATCTATCTATCTATATATATATATATATATATATATATATGTATATATATAAATATCGCTGTATGTTTCTTTCTATCTATCTATCTATCTATCTATATATATATATATATATATAAATATTGCTGTATGTTTCTTTCTATCTATCTATCTATCTCTCTCTCTATATATATATATATAAATATCGCTGTATATTTCTTTCTTTCTTTCTATCTATCTATCTATCTATCTATCTATATATATATATATATATATATATATATATATATATCGCTGTATTTTTTTTCTATTTATCTATCTATCTATCTACCTATATATATATATATCGCTTTGTATGTTTCTTTCTTTCTATCTATCTATCTATCTATCTATCTATCTATCTATCATTTCTTTGCCTAGTACTATCTCTTTATTTATCTCAGTCTATTACTATCTATTTCTCTCTCTCTCTCTCTCTCTCTCTCTCTCTCTATATATATATATATATATATATATATATATATATATATATATATATATATATATATATATATATATATATATATATATATATATATATATATATTTCTTTTATATCTATCTATCGTTTGAAATGTTACGGTGAGTACCATGCAACGCCTCGGCCATGAATCTCTCAAGCATGGTCAGTTCAAGTGTGATATCCAGATGCACGCCCGTTGCTTTGCCAAACAATATACTGTATTAGAAATGCGATATGTCTGTTTGTGTGAGCGCATGCCGTTGTCAAGGGCAGGTCATGTAAGCCATTTGAAATGTCATCTTGACAATTAGAAGCAGCCAAATGCGCCAACTATTCAAACTTGCCTCTTAGTCAATATCTGTGTTGTTTGGATCAAGCTTTGCAGATTGTCATATATATATATTGATATTTATTTACTGTATTAATTTATAATTTTCGTTTTTTGATAGGCTTTTTTACAAATCGATTCTGTATATATTTTATTTCAAATATGACTGTAAGATGATAAGTATTTTGAGAAAAAGCACATTTTACTACAGCAAAAATCTTAAACTTTTACGATATGAAAGATCGTTCACTTTCGCTTTTAATGATCATTATCTTAAAGGGATGAACTAGCTTTTATCTTAAAGTTAAATACGAATTTAAATAATTAGGTGCTGCTTTTTACCTCAATACACTCAAATATTTTTAAAAATACTAATTTCAATAAACAAATATTGAAATAAGAAAATCTTTTAATTATAAATTTAGATTTAGTAATTTAATCACTTGAAATTCAGCAGTAATCATTAGTCCTACTCTACCTAATAATACTGCTAATTAAAATACTTAAGGGATTACTTGTAACTATTTTTACTTGTACTTGAATTGAGCCGAGCTTCTGAGCAGAGAGGAACCCGGACGAGGGTCCGCCGAAGGACAGAGTCTCGTTCGGGGAGGTTGACCAACCCGATCCCGTTTATATGGGTTCTACGGGCATTTTTTTGGCCGAGACTACGGGCTCCAGAAACCCACGTTAAACTCGGCCTTGTGCCACATGCAACCCTCATGGGGGGTGGCTAGATAGCGATTTTTACTTGTACTTTTTTGGGAAATGTCCGTCGGCCAAATGTCCGTTTGGCTAAATGTCCGTTCGGCTAAATGTCTCCCAGACAAATGTCCGTCGGCCAAATGTCTCTCGGACAAATATCCTGCCACGCTTCAACCTATCAAACGGGAGGTTTTAAGGATCGTGGAATCATCTCTTAGTCTGTGTTGTTCCTAAGTCCATCTTGATTCGAGGTGGCAGCACCTGTTAGGGTACCAGGTATGGGCAAATAGAGAACCCCCAAACTGGGATTAAAACATTACGAAAGTATTAAAATACATATTTAATAAGAATACGATCCATACATTTCGGTAGTAAAAAAAATGATCTGCAATATATTATTGGAAAAGAAAGAGGAAAATTATTAGCAAAATATTTTCAAAAAAAAAAAAAAATTAATAAAAGAAAATTAAATTTCGACATTAAATGACCCATAAGGAGTTGATACGCCATTAAAAAAAAACAAAAAAAAAACATGTCCACCCACCGAATCATCTCTCACTCTTCTTTTAGTGGCTATTCTCTGTAGACCTTGGAAATAACTCTGTGTGGATATCCTAATAGAGCAGACGTTTTGAAATACTCAGATTCGCCAGTCTGTTATCAAATAAATAATGCGTTCAAAGTCACTTACATGCCATTTATCTCATACATGAAAAGAAAAGTCAACAGGTAACCATGACCTTGTTTCAATGGCTGCATCTAATAAATTACTGCTATGTCATTGTCTGATTAAAATGTACTTAAAAGATTATGTGTTCACGTGTACTTAATGAAGCGTCCAGTATGTTTACAGAGAGAGAAAGAGAGAGAAGTAAAAGAAAAACCTCTGCTTGCGTGTTGTGTATCTGTGTGTGTGAGAGAGAAACAGAGAGACAGAGAGAGACAGAGAGAGGCAAAGAAGAAATGTGAGTGAGTAAGAAAGGCTTTTTATGTTTGAAACAAGAGAATTCTAATTTAACGAGGGAATGCTTCAAATTTAAAATTGGATTGGAATGCCATTATCAGATTTTAACGTCTTAACACATTTTTAAGCTGTGGTTTTTGCTATTTCCCGTTGTCAGATATCTATGCAAGCATCTTTGTAAGCATGAAGAACTTCCCGTGTTCGATAATTCTTCTAAGAGGCGTATCCCAAACAACCGAACCCCCTTCACTTGTATTCATGTCAGGAGACGTACTTGGCCGTAAATGTTGCCTAATATCTTTTTGGGACCTGCCATGTTTGTGTCTTTTTATTTTTTATTTTTTTTACTGTACCAAGCTGCAATTACCCGCCACTAAAAAAAAAACACAAAAAAAAAAATAAAAAAAAAAAATAAAAAAAATAAAGAAATGAATAAAGAGAAGAAAAAGGAATTTGATTTTTGTCCAAATAACTGTCATTTAGATATTCGACTGACAGAATTGATATCTATTTTTCTCTTTTGATATTCTCATCTCATCATACAAGACTTGAATGACCAGTTCTCGGTAAGCTTAGATGTTTATATAATTTGGCCAGTCCCTAACGCTGCTCTTAATTTAAACAGATAGAAAAAAAAAATACAGATTACTTCACGCACTCACGCAAATACACACACACACACATATATATATATATATATATATATATATATATATATATAGTTGTATATTTAGGCAGCGATCTTTCCTTTATGCATGTTTCATTAAAACGACAGACAAGGTACTACGGTTAAGCTTTTTATTTAATTTTTCTTGTGTTCTGACAACAGCTTTCTAAAGCTCTTGTCAGAACACAAGAAAAATTAAAATAAAAGCTTAACCGTAACTGTCTGTCGTTTTAATGAAACATGCATATATATATATATATATATATATATATATATATATATATATATATATATATATATCCTTTTATATTGATATTTAAGGGATTTCACCTTCAAGCAGGCTAACCTAAAGTTATTTATTGGCGTAGCCTCCGGCCATCACCGGATGTCGTAAGCTGTGATCACAATAGCAGACGAAACGAAATAAAATCTACCAATCTTTCTTCTCTATTTTAATGTTCGTCTGTCCGCCTTTTCTTTTCTCTCTCTAACTCTTTCTCTCAATATATATATATATATATATATATATATATATATATATATATATATATATATATATAGTGTGTGTGTGTGTGTGTCAAAAGTACTTTTATAAAATTTTGGTGTGGGTAGGTCTCACAAATAAAAAGAACAAATGTCTACATAAACATATGTGCGCAAATCGTTCGATTTTGAGTTAAGTTAAATGTACAATCCAAGGTACAATCCCAAGATACATATTACCATGGTGCCACGGTCCTGTCTCAGAAAGGCGATGATAGACAATAGCAAAGTTTGGATGACTCGGCTGCCTTCGGTCTTGAAACGCAATCTGACACAGCTGTGCAGCCTCCGAGTCCATTAGCATTCGCGCACCCGTATGTCAAAATCATATTTGCCTGCATACGATATGAATATCCTACCATTGTTAAACGGAGAGCTTCTTATTTAAGACACTACTTCACACGTTAAACGTTGAAGACAGACTAGCCACAAATGTACACGAATGAGAAATGTAACGTAGTCTATATATTAACACTTTGCAAAGTACCGTAAACTTTCTTTAAATACAAAAACAAATTATTTCCGGAAATTCATATAGATTTTGTCCTTGTATATTATGAGAAACTCGCTCCCAATATTGTAAAAGTAAGTAAAAAGGGTGATTCATTAAGATGGATAATATATAAGGGTTTTTCATTAAGACGGATCAAAGTCAGCAGTAAATAAATCAGTGTTATTGGTGAAAATTTATTTATTTCTCTATTGAATCATGTTATTTAATTCATGGCAATTATGGGTGAAAAATAATATCGCCCAAATGTCCGCCATTTTTGAAAGAAAAAGAAAAATTCATTCTTAAACTTAAAACGCATTAAAATCGGTCTAAGTTATTTGAACACACAATGATCCATTGGTATATAAACCAAGTGAATCACATTAATACAATATAAAATATTAAATATTAAAACTGATTCACAGAGGCTCAGCATTTTAAACAAACAGAACAACATATTTGATATATATATATATATATATATATATATATATATATATATATATATATATATATTGGAAAAAAACCACCATTATAGATATACATATATGAAAATCTATATATTCAGTTAAAGTAAGGACAAATCCTTTATAACGGCTAATAGAATAGCCGAAAGCTCTCGGATATATAGGATATTTGGTTAGTTTTGCTCTTTCAATGTCCAGCAAAATAAACACTATTACAAATGAAAAAAAATGTATAAAAAGTTTAATTGAAGTCGTCTTTTTTTCTATTATTTAAAATGTGGATGAGGTTATTATGATCCTATTTTCCAAATCTATGTTGCGGGCGGAGTTTGATAGGTTTTCGTGTATGTTTAGGTAGATTATAACGTTTACTTTTATCTGAATGTACAGATTATTTTATGTGCATATCTAGAGTTATAGGAATGTTTTATTTTCCAAACACGGTCAGCATATTGTGGCCGTGTTCATAGTTGATATTTCTGAGTGCTGGATTTTTTCATTTTTATTAATAATGCTTTCATTATCTTTAGACTATTTACGAATGGATGAGTCTATTATCTTTATACTGTCAACAGGTAAGTTGCAGGGAGATTTCGGTAGGGTTTCATATGTATTTCATAACGTATTTCATACATTCAGTTCAAAGTAAAAATCATCTTCGATAATGGTTAAATGTATAGCCGAAAGCGCTCAAACATACAACGCATTTGGACAATTTTTCCATAATTTAGGCCCATATTAGATTAAGATTTGAACCGTCCTATTTGACAAAT